TGCTACCTCAGCTCTGATTCCATGATAAGCCTATATAGGAATTCTTCCTAAGGTGGGGGGGCAGGATTCAAGGTGGTTCTTTTCCTTGAGGATTAGAAAAGTCTCTAAACTCACATGCATGCCTCCATGAAGGGATACTGAGGTCTCAGCCATCTTGCTGAAACAGTTGAGCTGTCCAGATCCATGGGTCTATGTAGGGAAATATTCAGATTATCTCTCTGGCATTGGTGATGTAAACTGGATGCTCTTGCTGGAAACTCAGGCCAGTGAGGAAAAGACACTAAGACTAGCACAGTTCACAGGTGGGAAGCCATAAAGGAATGAAGTATTTAAAGTAAATGATTGTGTGAGCCAAACACACATTGCACGGAAGCTAGTGATTTTGTAACACACATATTCTTGTGATGTCTTTGTTAATGTTTTCCCTAGCTTCCAGCAAATACAAACTTATGGATAAATCAGGTCCCGTGGGGGCACCCCGATAATCCCAGGACTGCAGAGGCTATAATGAGGGGATCTGGGGTTAAAGACCAACCTGAACTACACAGTAAGGCTCTGTCTCAATAAAAGCAAGACAAACACAAAACAAGTCTACAACTAGAATCACAGAGAGCATCTGAGGCTGAGTGGAGCCTGGATAGACCCAGAGGGAGAAGCATGGCTTCACTGGAGGGGGATCTTTTGGGAGGGAGGCCAGGATTTTGTCCATGTGGGACAGCCAACCAACCCATTGATTCAGGTTGGCAAACCATTGGAGGGGAACACAGTGGATTTCCCTGCATAGGATGCCAAGCTTTGGATGCTCCAGTAAATTGTAACATAGGATTGGCTCTGGAGACAGTCATGCATAGGCATAGGGTTGCTTTTCTAGCTTTCAGGAGTGACTGTGGTCCAGATCTGATACCTACCCCTCTGGAGCTCAAGGAGTGAGCCTAGTCCATGTAACTTTGTATATTTATAGGTGTTTCAAACTATTGATTATTGATATATTTGTCTTCAGAGATCATAACTAAATGTGGTCCCAGGAGTTCTTTTTGTCCAAACTGCTGGAAGAGACAACACCGCTACAAAGGGAACAAATTGGCCAGCAGAGACTGAAACCTGGCATTGAACAGCCCTGTGTGCACTAGCCCCTAGGCAGCTCCAGGACATCAACAAGTGAAGTGCCTGTATATCACAAGCAACGGGATGATCCAAACCTGATCACCCATCCTACTGAACAAGGAGGGCCCAAGGTCATCCTCAAATCATCTCTAGTTTAATTCCCATAAGAAGGCAGTCAGATGTAGCCCAGACAGGCCTACTTAACTCCATGATGGATGTGTATACTCCCCTGACCCTGAGGGATGATGAGCAGGGGCTCCTACATTATTAGTACATGCAATGTCAGTCCTTTAATGCCCTGGATGTGTTATGGATAAGGACATGTTGTGTGTTCTACAGGAGTCAATCAAATGTCATCAGACTTGCTTTCAGAGAGCCTTCATGACCAGCTCCCCCTAGCTTTCCTCTTCTGAGCCCTGTTTCCTATTTGGGGTTGGGTAGGAGACAGTCCTACAGTTGCTTCAGAAACAAAAATGAAAAATGTAGCTCACTGTGCCTTCTTGAGGAGTCAAAGTATTCTGTGCTGTCATACCTGAGATGAAGTGATGGTGGTGGTGGGGGGGCTGCTTCAAGGAGAAGTACAGGCCAGATGCAGGGCTGTGCATCTCATTCAAGCTCTTGACCCTACAGCCCCTCCCTGCTGATTAGCTTTTAGCTGTTAATGACCTTCACTGAATCTGACAATTACAGCAGCCAAACCACACTACACATTATTTTCACAGGCAGAAGACAGTGTCCTCACCAGCCCCATGGGCAGTTAGGTCAATGGCCACACTACCACCTCTCACTGCGGAGCTGTCTGGGTACCCTGCTCTGTGGATGACTGCTACTCCTGTCAGTGAGGGACAGATGACCATCAGTTTTCCACAAACTAATTGGCCCCAGTTTTGAGGCTTATATGCTATAAACACGGTGACTTATTTTGGACCATGCATTATCCTTAAACCAGGTTTACAGCCTTTGATTGCTTATTAGTTTTATAACTCAGATTAGTCTCTTTATGGAGAATTGACTAGAAAGGTCAAATGTAATTGAAGCTCTTATCTCATCTTAATTGCTCACATCTTGAGTTGTGCTTCATGTGTTGAGTTTGTTCCTCTGTTCAGTGGGTGACGGTTTGGGAGAGATCGAGAGTGTGTGTATTGAGGACTTTGAAGGGTCTGGAACTTAAGGTGGCCTGTGGTCATTTGATTTGTGAAGTTTGGATTATTTCAGCTCCTTTGGTCTTTGTAATGACTGATTCTGAATGGGTTACTTTCTACACTGTTCTGTGACTGCAAAAGATAGTTCACTCCTGTGGTGCGTCTTCTGGCTATGAAGGGAAGCCAATCTGCTGCAAAGGGCTCATGCCACAGAACATGGTGGAGCTCAAGCCCTGTGCGCTGTTGCTGACATTCACCTCCACAGACTTCACACAGTTTCTCCCCATGGGAAGACTTGAACACTACAGTGAAGAGTTGTATCCATTCAGGGTCAACCTCAACTGTGATTTACCACAGTGACTATGACTCCCCAGGCAGTGCATGAGAGTGGCCGACTCTTTCTGACCTCACACAGTGATGAACTAGCTGGTCAGTCAGTGTTGGTTTATTGAGAGGACTATGTCACAGCAAGATGACGTAATGATCTGATGATGTAATGATAAACTGAGGTGAGGGAACCCACAGGCTATGCTGAGGGACAGTCTGTTAACAGGAAATACATCTTCCTACAGGGATCAAGGGCACACCACTCTCAGCCAAGCTATTTTGAGGTCATCCCCAGGGTAGAAATCACCATAGGGGTTAGTGTCCTAGAGCTGTGCACATGACCTCAGGCTTCTGCTTTCTCCATGCCTTAGGGCCCTGGTGTATCAGCTTAGCAACTATGGCCCATAGAGATTCCTGTTTACCTCACTGTGGGTAATTGCTCTCTGAGGGCTACTCCTAAGCAATCTAAGTCCATCCCAGGGGTTAGTCCCTACAGTAAGGTCAAAAGCAAACAAATGGGACACAGGGCTCTTTGTGGTGAAATGTATGTTCTTTCGAACATGTAGACATCTTGGGTTTAGATGGGCAGCCACAGACAGCTTCTCCTTCCATGTGAGTTGCTCCTTCCTCTATTCACTTCTTCCTTTTGGGTACCTGTCTTCTCCCCATTTCTTTCCTCCTTCCTTCCTTCCTTCCTTTCCTTTCCTTTCCTTTCCTTTCCTTTGCTTTCCTTTCCTTTCCTTTCCTTTCCTTTCCTTTCCTTTCCTTTCCTTTCCTTTCCTTTCCTTTCCTTTCCTTTCCTTTCCTTTTTTTTTGTCTTCTGTGAGGGAGGAATGATTCTCAAAAGAGATTTGGTTTTCCTCTAATCTATTTTAGTGTGTAAAAATGAAAAAAAAAAACAACTCTTACCAGAAACACCTTGCTTCATAGTTTCAGTTTGAAACTTTAAATGCATGGCTCTAAAGGTCTACTCTGTGACCAATCTTGGATGCTGATCAATGAACAGAAATCTTGCACTGTGGCTTAGTTCTGAGGCAGATCTGGGTTTCTAGAGAGGCATGGTGGTTTCCTGTGGATCTGGTACAGAGTTGGGGGCTCAGAGCCACCTGTGGCATGAAGTGTTACAGGCAGACAGGTACTGAGCTGAGATGCAGACAGAGAAGATTTGGGGGGCTCAGTTAAGAAGCCCAGCCTTCTGTATGAGGCCCCTAGGTATCTGCAGGGAATGGTGACAGATCATCCTTTGCTGTTTGGGAGACAAGTATGAGTCCTGAAGATTCTATGGGTAGCTTAGCTCTTCAGTGGGAGGAGGTGGGGTTATCAAAAGCTCAGACCCTGCTTTCAAGTTCACCCTGTAGGAGAAAGGCCTTGATCTGTGCACTCACAGGATAAGAATGTCTTCTTCATTCAGCACACACCATGTGAGTTCTTTGTTTTCATGTAGCCAACATCCCACTCATGGAGTGTCCAGGATGGGTCTGGGCCTGCTCATTCCCATCAGATAGTAGAAGGGGCCGAGCTCTCTCTGCATGCTGATCAGTCCCCATCCTTCTCTGCCTGAGAGGCACATATTCTTGGAGAGTCCTGGATGATTAGAGATAGATATGTGTATGAGGTGAAGGGAAGACAGACTTGGAGCTGGGTAGGAGTGATAGCCTGGAAATTTGGGGCCTGGCTTAAAGTCAGGTCCATGCCTTTCTTGCTGTGTTTCAGCACTGGTATAGACAAGCACCTTCTCTGGCAGGCACAAGCCTTCCCAGAGAAGTGAATGATACATGTTGTCCTCACTGGGTTTATCATCCTCAAGGGAGTGATTTACAGTGGCCATGTAGAAATAGACAGCTGTGGTGTTTACAAAAGGGATATATTCATTCCCCAAGAGCTAGGGTTATATGTACCACCTGTATGCCATTCTGTAACAGCTTCATGTTCTAAACCTATCCAGATGCTCCCCCTACTCCCAAGCATGCTTCCCAGAACTGTTTTTCTACCAGCCTCCAAGAATCATGGTCCACGCCTTGATAAGGCTGGTTTTCTCTAAGTTCCAAAAAAATCTTTTCTGGGGAAACAATTTCCCTTTGGTACACCTTAACAGGCCAGCATACATGCTTAGAGATGCTCCAGTTCTCAGGGCATCATAAGATATGATCTATGTTAAAGCAAACAGAGGCTGTAGGATACTGCCCGTCACAGGCAGGGCTTCCTTCTGTTCTGGGTCTACTGTGTACAGAGTAGAGAGTTCATGCTCACACTGTCCCACTGTGTTGATAGATGATGTCATCATCTTTACAGTGACAGCACCCCTGAGAAGCACTCCTACTCACAGCTGGCTGGATCCTGTGTGACATGATGGCTGCCCCACACCCTGTGTCTCCTTGACCATCCATAGCTGTGTAATGCCCACTAACTCCCAGGACTCACTCTCAAATGGCAATAAACAACTACACAACTGTGGTAGAGTTTGTCCTGCAGGGACTCTCTGGGGATCCTGGGCTCCAGGCTCTCTTCTTGGCCTTTTTCTTGCTTCTTTACATCCTGGCTCTTTCAGGAAACACCCTCATCATCATAGCCATCAGCCTCAATCCAGGTCTTCACACTCCCATGTATTTCTTCCTTGCCAACCTGGCCCTGTTGGACATCGTCTGCACATCCACTGTTCTTCCCAAGCTGCTGGAGGGTCTGGTGGGTAAGAGCAGCTACATCTCTTACAAGGGATGCATGACCCAGATCTTCTTCATGACCTGGATTTTGGCAGCTGAGCTGTTGCTGCTCACTGTCATGGCCTATGACCGCTATGTGGCCATCTGCCGCCCACTGCACTACAGCGTGCTGATGAGCTGGCCCATCTGTGTCCTGCTCGCAGGCTTTGTGTGGGTGATCGGCATAGCCAATACATCTGTGCACACTGGCCTGATGGCACGACTCAATTTTTGTGGCCCCAATGAAATTCGTAACTTTTTATGTGAAGTCCCAACAGTGCTGCTTCTGTCTTGTAGCCCAACCACTCTCAACAACATCATGATTGTCATCGCAGATGTCTATTTTGGTGTGGTCAACTTTGTATTCACTATGATATCCTACAGCTTCATCATCTGGAGCATCCTGCGCATCCACTCCACAGAGGGCAAGAAGCGTGCCTTCTCCACCTGCTCTGCCCACCTAGTGGTGGTCATCCTGTACTACTCCACTATCATCTACACCTATTTGCAGCCTGGCTCTGGATCCTCCTTGGAGAATGGCAAGGTTGTTACCTTGTTGTACACAGCAGTCAGTCCTACGCTGAACCCCGTCATTTATTCTCTGAGGAACAAGGATGTCAAAATAGCCCTCAGAAAGTTATTTTCCTGTTTCCATTGAGGAGACAGAGGCACCAGTGTGACTTGATCCAGCTGTTGATGAACTATTTGGGATGCGTGACTGAGGATCTGACGTCATGTCAGATAACAGAAAGGTAATTTACGTGGCAGATATACATGTACTGTGCTCCTCTTGGAGGAGCCACCGGCCATTTCCTTTTGGAAGGGTGAACGTCCAGGTTTGAGGTAGGCTGTGTGTTTATATCCTGGGTGGCTATCTCTTATGTAGAGCTTTTCAGTATCATGTATTGGAGAAAATCACCCAGACTCCAATATTGGACAAACTCCTCTTAGTTTGAACTTGAGAACTGTGTCTGTTGGCACCATGGTACTTACACCTCTGAGAGAAAAAACAAAAAACAAAAAACAAGCAATCTGCTCCTCATACCAGCAACACCTAGGAAGGTGTGGGTTGACTCATCAGTTCCTCTTCAGCTGGAATGCTTTGCCATCATAGTAGAGGATGCTAGTCTTTTCTTTGTTTGGACAGAAGCTTCTGCAAACTGAGTAGGAGTTCAGTCTCCCTCTGGCCTCTGAAGCCACTGTCCACAGCATCCTCCTAGACTCTCTTCCCTCCTCCACACAGTTTCCTCAAAGGTATGATCAACCCTGTGTTATTTGATGCTGTTGCTAGCAACCTCCAAATATATAACTGCCTCTGTGGTTCTTTGCCTCTGAATCTATTGGTGTGGCTGCTTTCTGAAGACCTTGATTTCTTTGCTAATTACTTGTTCTAAGACACTTATTAGAGTCTATTGTTTTGACCAACTGCCTGGCATGTCATGATTGTTTTCTCACTGCAAGGGCATTCTCATGATCCTGGGAAGCCTCCATGAATGGCCCGATACCCTCCACTCAGTCTACAAACACATGCATGCATAACAGCACCTGTCCATTTCATGCTGTTCATGCTCATCAGAGATCAGGCTACAGGATCCAATGCTTCTTTTTCTACCAAGTGGGCCCTTAGAATTAAACACAGGTTATCAGGCTTGGCAGTTATCACCTCTACTAGCTGAGACATCTCATTGATCCTACACTTTTTGTCTTGAGATGTGTTTTCTACCCTGCATCTAGGGTTTTAATGTCTACAGTGCCTTACTGAAAGAGCTCAAGCTCAGTGAACTGGACAGGATTTAGCTGGGCAGCTGTGATCTTGTCTCCACAGCTCTGCTGTTGAGTTCTTGCTCTATATCCACTTCCTAATTCATTTATCCACGTGCCCTTCTATTTTACTCATTTCAAAGCATGCTGCAAACATCAATTCACTCTTCCTTAAACAGTTTCATATGCACATTAGAGACAATAATTTGTTTATAGGTTTTTCTGGCTTGGGGATCTTAAGATAAAAATTTTCAGCAATTTCAATGAAATGGGTGAATCAGAGTATCATTTACCAAGTTTTGAGAAATAAACAGTTATGTAATGCAAGTCTCCATAGAGAGTGGAGATGATAGCCTTTAATGTAGCATGTTTTACCCAGGGCTGCTCAACCTGTGTGGCCTGAGGTCATCAGTGCCCTTTGTGGTAGTCATTGTTGTCCTGATATTTCAGTTGCAGCTCAGTTTTGTGTGTTGTACAACTTTGTACAAATGGCATCATGCAACACACATTTTTGACATGTGTGTGCTTTCATAGCACAGTTTTTTTATTTTTAAATTTTGTTTATATGTATGAATGTTTTTGACTGCATGTATATATCTATACTACAACATGCCTGGTGCCCTTGGAAATCAGGAGAGGGTGTTGGATCCCCTGGAATGAAGTGACAGATGGCTCTAATTCAACATGTGTATGTGGGACTAGAACCCAGTTCATCTGCATGAACAATAAGTGTTCTTAACTGCTGAGCCATCTTTCTAGCCCTCCACAGTGTTTTAAAGATTTGATCCTGTTCTCTTATGTAATCAGTACTGTGTTCTTTTCTATTTTGGTGAGCACTAGGTTTTAAGGCTATAACACACCTTATTATTCAGCTTCCATAGATAATTGTGCAAATCCTCTTCCAGGCATTTTTTTCTCCATAGTAAGTGATTGTGAGTGGCATTGCAATGTCTCAGGGTGTGTGGAAGCTGAGTTTTGTAACAAAGTTTTCTCTTGGATTTTACCCTTCATACTCTCAGCAACAGTCAATGGGATTTCTACTGGCTTTTACCACCACCTAAGGCCATTGATAGAAAGAGGCTCAGAATTGAAGCCTAATCATCCCTAACTCCTGCTCAGCTCCTGAGAGTCTCCGTGCTGCTCCTGGAGTAACACTGGCATTGGATGGCCTGCACTGTTTTTCTCTACTGCGCAGGCGCAGCCCTACAAACTACCCCAACTACTGCTTCACATGTGTTCTGCCCCCATGCTCATTAACACCCCTGTTGATCCTTTATTTGATGAGTTACTTAGAAAAGCATTACTTAATTTTCAAATAATTTAAAAATGGGAAGTTAGACATTTCCCAGATGGTTTTATCATTGATTGCAGGAATCATGGATTTGGTCTGGTCTAGCTTCCTTAGAGTCTGTGGCTCCAGGGAACCCTGTGCCTTTCAGTTCCAGAGAAATTGAGGCACTCCCTTAGGCAGTGAAGCATTCAGGCTCTGTGTTCCCTGAAGTCAGGAAAGCATATAGATGATAGACAGGACAATTACTCTGAGACATTAATATTGCACACTCTGTATTGCATGCAAACATTGTATCCTGGCAACTACAACTGTATTCTTCCTGGGCAACTGCCATTATATTCTGTTTCTGATAGGGGTATATACAGTCTGATTCCTTGTAGTAAACTTGTCTCATCCTCAGTCTCTCTGAGACCCCTTCATCCTGGTCTGGTTTTAATTTCTTACACACACACACACACACACACACACACACACACACACACATTCCAAGGGTCCTCAAAAGACCCTGAATTCTGTCATCATTGTGTTGGGGCTCATGCAGGGTGGATGTCTCAGTTTTTGGGAGGTGGTTAGTCTGTGCTGGTGAGTGTCCTCTTGTTCTGTTCATTACTGAGACTGCTGAGATAATAACTGTAATAAACCAGTTTACTTTGTCTTGTACTTATATCAGTTTCTCTTCCTGTGTCTAATGGTTCTGTTGCTAGGGGCAGAAGTGTTTTGGGTTCTTCTGTCACAATGACTGTTTCTAACTCCATGTTAACCCTTTTATCAATAAATAATTTCCTTTATTTGTGCTATTAATTTCTGAGTTTAAGACTGTTTGGTATTAAAACACTTAGCTTCTCCTGCTTCCATTTGATTGTTGGTGTGAGAATTTTTTTTTATTATTTTACTTTCAGCCTAATTAAGATAATCATTTTATTTATTTATATCCCAAATTTTGCCCCTCCAGAATCCTTCAGCTTGTCTCCCTTCCCTTTCCCTCTGAGGGTGTGCCTCTCCTGGGCATCCCCTTTCTCTGGGGCATCAAATCTCTACAGGATTAGGCAAATCTTTCACTGGGGTCTAACAAAGCAGTCTGTCCTCTGCTACATATTGGCCTTGGCCCAGCCCATGTATGCTCTTTGGTTGGTAGCTTAGTTTCTGGGAGCTTCTAGATGACACCTTTGGTCTTCCTATGGGGTTGCCATCCCCTTCAGTTCCTTCAATCCTTCCCCTATCTCTTCCATAGGAGTCCCAACCTCAGTCCAGTGCTTGGCTGTGCATCTGTCTCAGTATGCTTTTTTGTTTTTTGTTTTTGTTTTTTTTTTTTGCTCACCCCTTTCCCACTCAGGTCCCCCCTCCCTCTGCTTCCCATGATTATTTTGTTCTCCATTCTAAGTGGGATTTAAGCATCCTCTCTTGGGCCTTTCTTCTTGTTATACTTCTTATGATCAGTGGGTTATATCCTAGGTGTTCTGTACATTTTAGCTAATATCCAATTATCAGTGAATACATACCATGCATGTCTTTTTGGGTCTGGGTTACCTCACTCAGGATGATATTTTCTAGTTCCACCCATTTGCCTGCAAAATTCATGATGCCCTTGTATTTAGTAGCTGATTAATATTCCACTGTGTAAACATACATTTTCTGTATCCATTCTTCAGTTGAGGGACATCTGGGTTGTTTCCAGCTTCTCGCTATTATGAATAAGGATGCTATGGCCATAGTGGAGTTTCTATCCTCTTAGAGGCTGCAATCCTTCCTCCTATTCTTCCATAAGAGTCCCCAAGCTCCATTCACTGTTTGGTTGTGGGTGTCTGCCTCTGTCTGAGTCACTTGGTAGGTTAGGTCTCTCAGAGGAAAGCCATGCTAGACTCCTGTCTGCAAACATAACAGAGTATCATTAATAGTGACAGAGATTGGTGCTTGAACATGGGATGGATCTCCAGTTGGGTTGGTTATTGGTTGGCCATTCACTCAGTCTCTTTCCCATCCCCAATCTCCACATTTCTTGTAGACAGTATAAATTTTGGGTCAAAAGTTTTGTAGATGGGTTGGTGTCTCTATTGCTCCACTGGGGTTTCTGCCTGGGCACACAAGGCAGCCTCCCTAGGGTCACAGCTAAGGACTACCTCCCATTGATTCCTGGTTGCCTCCCCTATCTCAGGTCTCTGTCTCTTCCTGGAGATGCATCCTACCTCCTGCCCTGTTGGTTACAGATTTCCATTCATTCTTATGGCCATCTTGCCATCCTGCCTGCCCCTCTCTGCACCTGACCCTGAACACTCCTCCCTCCCAGTCCCCTCTTTCACACAGTTTCCTCCCTCCATCTGCCTTCCAGGTCTATTCCATTTGCCCTTCCAAGTAACGTTCAAGCATTCTTGCTTGTGCCTCCTTCCTGTCCAGTCTTCTTGGATCTGTGGAGAACAGCATGGGCATCCTGTATTTGATTAATAATAGCCACTTATAAGTGAATACATATTGTGCATGTCCTTTTGGAACTGGGTTACATTATTGAGGATGATATTCTCAAGGTCCATCCATTTGCCTTCAGAATTCATGATGTATTTGTTTTTTGTAGCTGAATAGTATTCTGTTGTGCAGATGTACAACATTTCTTT